TTTTTTTTTTTAAGGGAGGCAGAAAATTTGTGTGGGCTCTATTATTTTTTCCACCCAGCTTTATATCTGTTGGCTCTTCTGTATTAAGAGTGTGGATGTCTGTGTGTAAATGTGTCTGGGAATAGACGTTTGTGCTCTGATGGCTACATTATTTATTTGGTGCTTTTTTTCCCCTGCAGTGGGTCGGCTCACCGTGTGGCTTGCACGGACCTTACATTTTCTACAAGGCTTTTCAATTCCACCTTGAAGGCAAACCAAGAATTTTGTCCCTTGGCGACTTTTTCTTTGTAAGATGTACGCCAAAGGATCCGATTTGCATAGCGGAGCTCCAGCTGTTGTGGGAAGAGAGGACCAGCCGGCAACTTTTATCCAGCTCTAAACTTTATTTCCTCCCAGAAGACACTCCCCAGGGCAGAAATAGCGACCATGGCGAGGTGGTAAACTTATATCTCCCTCTCTTCTTTCTTTATTATTTTTTCCCGTAGTAATGCTTATTACAGGGCAAGCTTGAAAATACTGTATTCACTTCTGCAGGCGAGCAGGATCGACTTCTTTTTTAAAGGGGTAGCGCCACTAGCTGGGGCTCGAGTATTTTGCCATTGTCAGAGTTTGGCTGTCAGCTTTACAAAGAAGATCCAACTGCTGATTTTAGTCAAGATCAAATAACTTGTTCGAGAAGGGTTTTGTTCAAGGATATGTGTGTGTGTGTGTGTGTGTGTGTGTGTGTGTGTGTGTGTGATCCTGCTATTGCCGCTTGAACATCACATGCTTTTTATATTTTTTGCCTTTTGAAAATTTACCTTCGCGTCTGGCTCGGTAGGGGATGGGTGGATTTCTTTCGGTGGGTTTCGATATTGTTCCCGTTTTTCTTTTCTTTTCTTTTTTTTAAAGTAAGTATTTGATATGTTTAAGAGGGCGGAAATTACGAAATGGAGGCAGAGTGAGATCAAAAGCTATTGAGTTGGCAAAGACGTGTTGAATAAAGTGATAAATGACAGGTACTGGAATAATACATTCAAATAACTTGCAGATCTGCCCGGGCGGATTTCAAAGCGGTCGTGTAACCGGCACAAACACGTTAAGCATTAACAACTATCTCTCGTCCCCACCCCCTCCCCCCGGACAAGCCATTTGATGTTCTAGTTTTCAATTACTCCACGCAAAGTGGACGCCTTCCAGCGCGATCTTTGGGGATGTGTGGGACGCGGACGGGGGAGGGAAGGGCAGAGGGGTGTGTGCTCACCCCCTGGCCCTGCGGGTCCGGAGTCCTCTGTGCCCAGACGGCGCTCCTGGGGAGGGTGGAGAGGGTCAGAGCCTCCCCGGCACGTTTCTGGGCGGCCGCGGGGGCGCTCGCCGCGCTCCCGGCAGGACGCCCGAGGTGAGCCCGCTGTCACCGGTCGCCGGGGCGGCCGCCCCTGTTCGGCTCTGTCATTTCATGTGTGACCGCATTTCTGCGGGCTCCCCTCGTCAGCTGACCGACCTCAGCGCCCTGGTACCTACCGGGGGAACTGTTTGGGGGAGGCTGTGCCTGCGGCGCGGCGGGGCGGGAGGGCGCGCGGCCGCCTGTCAAGGCTTTGTGTTGCCCAAGCGGGAGCAGGGCAATCAGACTCAGACTTCTGAGGGCAGCTAGCTCTGTGCCAGGCTTTCGAGCTGTCGAGGTAGGTGTAAGGATCTTTTTGTTAAGTGAATGGTTCCCCGTTTTAACTCATCCCGGAGCTCGAAGCTGCCTGCCAGTCCTTCCAGAATTCCTTGGTCTGGTAGAGTTGATTGTACTTTTGGCACCTCCAGTTCACTTCTCGCCGAGATCGAGTTACCCGTCAGTGGTCTGTGACGGTTAATTACCGGAGTTCTTCAAAACGTTCGCCCTCGGATCAGCCTCTTCGGAAATAAGCCCCTCCCTCCTCCCCGAACACCTCTCCCAACCCACACGCCCTCCCCTCCGCCCTCCCGGCCAGCTATGGGTTTTAAACGTTCACCTTTCCCGACGTCTGCCGGCACTTTTACAAAGGTGTTGTTTGGAAATGCTGTGAAAAATCCTGCAGCCTACCAACAGGTTGAGCTCTTTGCACCGCCCAAGGTTTGGCTCGGCCCCCTCCCCCGACCCAACTTTCCTGCGCAGCTGTCTGCCTTCCCCTCCCCCTCCTGATTTCTTATTATTTGCTTTTCAAATTTATTACTTCAACATGGCCTGTGATCTGGAAAAGGGAAGGATTAAATATCCAGAAAAGAGCTGGTGCCTAATAGACTTCTGACTGAACCCAGAAGGAAATTATTCAGTGTTTTATGGGATATTTTGTGGACACGCTCTTTTTTTTTTTTTTTTCAGTTGAAAGCGGAATGTTTTCTAAAGACCCTGAATTGACCCCACTTGGTCCAGTTTTAATTTCTGATGTGTAATTAAATAGTAAATTCTGATTTAAGAATAAAAGAAATGTTAGCCGAAGGTTGCATCTGGTAGAACTAATGATAGTGAATAGATATATTTTTAAATACACGATTTTTTAAAAGATATTATTCATTATGGGGAAATGTAAGCGAACCATTTTAATGATCTTTGCGTTTCGTCACTGCTATATGAGCCATACCTGAAAAAATTAATCTTGCCGTTTAAAAGTAAACTCTAGGGGATTTGGAGAGGGAGATGGCTCTATTTATATTCCTCAGCTGCATATACATCGTCTAATATTATGCATGATTTGTTTTTTAATGCTAACACGGCTGGTAATTAGCTGTATGATTATAGTTGTATATTTCATTAGGACTTTGGATGATGTCCTTGTGAGTTATTCAGCCATATTAAAACAATTTTCAATTGAGATAATGACACGCCTCAAAATTATGCAAATACAGGCTACATTGTGCAAAATAATTATGACAAATGTAAAGCAGGTAGAAAGTTTCCCAGTGCAGATCGGTTTTCCACCCTGGTGATGTCATTTCCCCCCTGGCCTAAGATAGTCCGTCATTCATTAGCAGAATAGCAGCAGCAGTCTCCTCTGAAGGAGAGCCTGCAGAAACCAGCATTTACTGCTGGCACCTAGAGGGGGCAACAGGGCCCTCTCATTAAGACATTTGCTTTGTTTTCTCTTACTCTGTTAACTTGTTTATGTACAGCGAAATGATTTTATTATTGATTTTAAATAGTTTTGAATGATGCATTTGCCATCTGCAATGCATAACTGAAAGAGAAAGGTTTCCTGGTGACGTGCACTGTGCCTTGGAGAAAATGTTCAGCACATTTAAATCAGCCAGTACAGTTTATTTAAAGTAACCAAATGGAGGTTAATAATTTCTTGATTGAGCTGACATCAGCATCCATTTCGAAAGGACAGCCAGGACTCCGTATGCTTTTTTGGTTTAAGAGCACCATTCTGTCTTTTTATGATTTCTTGAAATATAAAGACATCAGTTCTAAAAACAGGGAAATTATCATTGTGCGGGATTAGAAATAGCGTCCCTGTGTGGTTTGCTATGATCTGCAGAGGACAATTTTTTTTTTTTTTTTTGGTGGGGGAGGGAAATTTTCTTATTGATCTTTGCATTAATTGTATCAGGCTAGATAAGGCAGGACTTTGTATGCCCATTTTATAGATGGAGACAGAGGCTTGAAGAGTTTATGTGGCTTGTCAAAGGTCGCCAGCTAGAACCTAGGCCTTCTTAAGCTTTAAGGTTGCTTTATTTTCCCGCTGAAACCTACCCTTGAAACTAGAGCTTGAATACATCATATTTTATTCCAGAAGTGTGTACTAAATGTGGGCAGTTCCTTGTACATTTTAGAACTATGACTAGTCAGCTTTGCTAGAGGTCACCAGATATTTAGGTAGCAGAATCATTCTTATTCTATAAAGTTCAGTTAATCCTAGCCAGTGTCATAGAACAATAACAGTTACATTTTAATACCATTATTAATAATCATTAACAATTTATTACTAGTTTAAGTAATTAGGATAATGTCTGGCCTGCTTATTATCACTGCTGCCTACACGTACTTAACAGTGCTGGCAGCTGGTGTGGAGGAAAAGCATTCCAGAGAGTCACATCTTGATTCTACAACTTACTATTTGTTTGACCTTGGATAACTGTAAACACTCTGAACCTCAGTTTCTTCATCTGCAAAATGGGAACAATAGTAAAGCTGACGGGGCATTGTTATAAATATCAAGAGACATTATTATGGGCAAAATTACTTTATAACTGTAAATTAAATAAATAGAAAAGAGGGCTTCCCTGGTGGAGCAGTGGTTGAGAGTCCGCCTGCTGATGCAGGGGACACGGGTTCGTACCCCGGTCCGGGAAGATCCCACATGCCGCGGAGCGGCTAAGCCCGTGAGCCATGGCCGCTGAGCCTGCGCGTCCGGAGCCTGTGCTCCGCAACGGGAGAGGCCACAACAGTGAGAGGCCCGCGTACCGCAAAAAAATAAATAAATAAAATAAAACGGGTGGATGTACAAGGTTGGATTTCAGCCTGACGGATCATGGGCTGGATTCTACAAGAAAGCTTACTGGTCCCCTGCAACAGTGAGTGTGGATGAGTAAGTCAATGATGTCAGGGAGTCAATATCAAGCATATCTGGGCATTACAGATTTTAGTATGCAGCCAGGGTATCTAACAGTGGTTTGACTATCACCAGCCTCACTATCCAGTCAAAAATTGTTAAAAATGCATATTCACGAGCCCCTACTGGAATTAATTTATTTAGAATCTCTGGAATTGGGGTCCAGGATTCTGCATTTTAAATAGTCTCACTCTAGCTGTGTGGATCTTGGGCGAGTTTTAAACTCTGTGCCTCGGTTTTCTCATCTGTAAAATGGAAATGTGGTACCTACTTCCCAGGATTATTTTCAGGATTAAAGGAGTTAATACATGTAAAGTGCTTACAACTGAGGTGGGCACATAGCAGAGTCTCCAGTAATGGCTGACTCATTATTATTATTATCATTAATATTAGTCTTATTGTTCTCGTTAGAGTTTGAGACCACTACCATGGACCTTCCTAAAGAAAGCTCTTCTCTATGAGAGGGCGGCATTTAGGTTAGTTTACTAGAACATATAGCCAATTCAGGTCCCCCCAGATCAGGCTGGCTTTCATCCACATGGTGGATTTAGCTGTGTTGCCATTATAAAAGGCTCCTTAAGGATTTATGTTTTAGTATCGAAATAATGCTGTCAACTGGATCAGCAGGATTTTTTAGAAGATCACCTGATCATATCACAGGCACATTCTGAAATTCAGGAGGTGCTGGACTGGCCTTGCTCTGCCTGTGGGTGGCCACTGACTGGGTCTCTGGTCTGTTTCCATGAGCTGATTTCTTTTTTTAGAAGTTTCTGAGATCTCCTCAGTGTCCTCACTAGCCTTGCAGAATTTCTTTAACTTTTCTAAGCCTCAGTTTCTTCATCTGTCAAATGGATTTAATGGTTTCTACTTTGCCAAGA